CCCTCTTTCTCTCCGCCGCCGCCGCGCCCCGCCTGCCCCACTCGCCCCTGTCCGTTCCCTCCTCCACACCCCGTCTTCCCGAAACCGCTCCCCGCCCCTCGGTGTCTGTCCAGCCCTTCCGCCCTCCCCCGGCCTCACCCTCTCAGTCCACTGCGCCCCCCTCCACTCCAATCCTGCCCCTCCTTGGGAGGAGGGGTACTGAAGCCCGAAGGCGCCTTCGGGGCTGGGGCAGGGGGCGCAGGGGAGGGGCCCTAGCTGCGTCCCCAGAGCTGAACCCCGGACCCTACAGAACAGCTTCGAGTCCAAGGACGGAACGGGATCTGGGCACGCGGGCCTCACTCCGGCGGCCGCGGCCTACTACCCCTACGAGCCCGCTCTGAGCCAGTACACCTATGACAGGTGAGGGCGCCCCCAGGACCCCTCTGTCCCCCAGGCCCCGCTGCGGGCCGGGCACCCCCAGGCTCCACCATCCCATCCCCACAGCCAGGCCCGGGGGCAGGGGGGGGGAGGGGAGGGGAGGGTGTGGTGCTGATGGGGTCGGGCTAGGCCTGCCCCTCAGCCAGCCTCCTTCAGCCTCCTTCCTGTCCTCGGTGAATCTGTACCCCAGGGGAACGACAGACACTCTTCCACCCCACATGCTATGACTTCCAGATCCTGGCTGTCAGGACTTACTTCTGAAGCCTGTCCCCTGGAGGGAGCCGTGTCCTCCAGAGCCTCCACCCCCAGTTCAGGCACCTCTGGTCTAGCATGGCGAGCCCCCAGACAGTGGGAAGAGAGGAGGGCCCTCCAAGCCCAAAGCAGCACAGCACCCCAGGGGCAGGAGACTATCTCCAATCTACAGGCCCTGGGCCTGCCCTGGGGGGGGCACAGCCCCTCTGACCACGGCCCCCATGCCATGCCACAGCTGGGCAGCTTCCCAGGTCTGTGATACATGTTTATGGTTTGGGGATCAAAGGCACAAGAGAGAATCCCTGGGAAGGAATTCAGAGAAGTAGCTCTGTGGAGTGACAGGGGGCATGACCTCTCACACTCACCACCATTTTAACAGCATTCTCTTCGCTCTCGGCCTACAAAAGGCAAAGAGGCAGTGCCCACGCCCACTGAGGCCTGGTCCAACCGGGGTCCTCCAACCATAAACACAGCCCACCACCAGGAGCCCCAGCCCGCCCCCATGCCCCTCCACACCTCCCTCCCCCGCCCCCCTTCCCAGGAGCACCCGGCTGCCGCCAGTGCCCCACTGCACAACCTGTCTGCAGGTACGGGACCATGGACAGCGGTACACGGCGCAAGAACGCCACGCGGGAGACCACGGCCACGCTGAAGGCCTGGCTGAACGAGCACCGCAAGAACCCCTACCCCACCAAGGGCGAGAAGATCATGCTGGCCATCATCACCAAGATGACCCTCACGCAGGTCTCCACCTGGTTCGCCAACGCGCGCCGGCGCCTCAAGAAGGAGAACAAGATGACATGGCCGCCCCGGAACAAGTGTGCAGATGAGAAGCGGCCATACGGGGAGGGGGAGGAGGAGGAGGAGGCCGGCGAGGAGGAGGCTCGGGAGGAGACCCTCAAGAGCACCAAGAGTGAAGGTGGGTTGGAGATCTGGGGGGGGAGTGGAGATGGGGGAGCAGGGGAACCGCGTGGGTTGCACACCGATGGACGCAGGCAGCCAGGTGGCAAGCACACAGTCTCTAGCTTGGGCAGTCTGAGCATGACTGTCTGTGCTGCTTGGGTACACTTGAAGATACTAAAGTCCAGTTTGAAAACATCACACGCACGCACATCTGAGGTCTCTCCTATGAAATGTAGACTATAGATTGGATTCCAGAAGGGAGGAGGCCAGAGGAAACAGGGGAGCACAGGGAGCAGCCCTGCTGGTTCCCTAGCTCAGGATGGGAACCCATCCTAGCTCCTTGGGCTTAGCGGAAGGCAGCCTGGGGCCCATCCCATGTTCGTCAGCCAGCCACGTGCTATCTCCCAGCAGAACCCATGGGGAAAGAAGACAAGGAGCTAGAGCTCAGTGACCTGGATGACTTCGACCCTCTGGAGGCAGAGACGCCAGAGTGTGAGCTGAAGGCAGCTTTCCAGCCCCTGGAGGTGGATCGCGTCCCGGCCACACCTCCTGGAGGCCCTGGTGGGCGGGGCAAGGAGTCCCCGGGGGCTCTCCACCTGCCCCTGGCCTCCGGCAGCCACTCGGCCACGAATGAGGACCTGGAGAGAGCGGGAAGCTGCCTGCAGTGCGCGGTGGTGGGGCCAGAGCCCCAGCCAGGCGGTGCCGAGGGAGGCCCGCAAGCCTGCGAGGCCAAGCTGAGCTTCGCGCCCGCCGGCCTGGAGGCCAAGCCTCGCATCTGGTCCTTGGCCCACACGGCCACCGCCGCGGCAGCCACGGCCCTGAGCCATACTGAGTTTCCATCCTGCATGCTCAAGCGTCCAGGCCCTGGCGCCCCTGCAGGGGCGTCTTCCGCCACCCCTCCCGCAGCCCCGGCCCCACCCGGGGCCCTGGACCGGCACCAGGACTCCCCAGTAACGAGTCTCAGAAACTGGGTCGACGGGGTGTTCCACGACCCCATTCTCAGGCACAGCACTTTGAACCCGGCCTGGGCCACTGCCAAGGGTGCCCTTCTGGATCCAGGGCCTCTAGGACGCTCGCTGGGGGCGGGGACCAACGTACTGACTGCACCCCTGGCACGGGCCTTCCCCCCCACCGCACCTCATGACGCCCCAAATGCCAGTGCAGCCAGAGAGCCGCTGGCCACGCCCAAAGCCAGTGGCAAGCCCTTCTGCGCCTAAAGCGGCCCCTGGAGCCCAGGGAACAGGGCACTCGGGCTCCAGGCTGCGGTGCCCGGACTTTTTACAGTCTCCAAAGGGCCAAAGGGCGGGCCAGAGCACGGCCAAGGGAGGAGCTGAGCTCAGCCCGCGGGGGCGGGGGGGAGCCAGGCCTGCTCTGCGGCCCTCCCCTCCCAGCCAGGAGTCTGCCCAGCCGCCCCCCAACTCGGCAAGGGTGGGAGAGCTCCCTCAGCGTGAAGTTTACATCCGAAGTTTACACGGAGGAGACGTGTGGGGCGTGGGTTGTTGCTGAGTCCTTCAGGCTGGGCAGCCCGTATCATCGGCTGCTCCTCCTCCCCATCCATCCTCAGCACATAGGCTCACCAACAGCACGTCCACCCGGTTTCACGACCTCACACTCCGGACTTGACGAAATTATGTTTTCTAAAATGTATGTTCACACCCCTACCTGCCTGCTTCAGAGAGGCTACTATAACAAAACCAATAAAACCTAGTGGTGGCATTTGTATTGAGGAACCAGCAGGCTGCAGGCCCCGGCTGTGACCAGGACAGGGGTGGCGGGCAGCCCGGGACTGCCGGTAAAACACGCGTGCTAAGCCTCCAGCCTACCCCAGAGCCGTTTCCCAGTGATCCAGACAGTTAAGCAACTTTTACTTAAGTTTACACCGTGGTACAGACATACATTTCAGCTGATTAAAATCCGATACCCAGGAAGAGGGACACTACAAATGTCCCCTCCCCTCACACCAGTCCCCACCTCCTCCCCGGAGGAAAGCGCTGTACTGGCACAGTCAGGACTGTGGAGCCCAATGCCAATGCAAGACCCTAAACTAACTCAGGACCAAGCTCCAGAAATTCGGACACATGGGGTTTGGGGTTAAATCTTCCCAAAGCCCCTGAAGGATTCAAAGGGAGAGGACGTGCATGCCGGGGTGCCAGCCCTGACCAGAGCCGGGCCAAGGCATGAGGAGCTTCCCGAAGACCCAGTACTTTACCCCGTAGCCCGCTTCCCCCCTTCTGGGGGGGGGGAGGGTGAGCTCCCCAGTTGCTCTTGCTTGGGCCTGGGGTCTGCCCTCTTCACTTGCCTGCAAGCACCCCGCTACTCTCTGGGGTCCCACAAGTCCTAGTGTCCCTAAGAAGGTATGGGCTGCCAGGCATGCAGCCTCAAGCCCCTATCCTGGACCGGGAACACGGGCCACCCCTACGGAGATTCCCAGCCTGCAGGCGTTGAGGACAATTGAGGCCAGGCCTTTCTCCTGGAAGTCTGGGCTGGGCAGGAGGGGATGGACCCCCGTGGGGCCCTCTCCCAGGAACATGCCTTTCCAGGGTGCAAGCCAGGAGCCCCCGGAGCTGGTCTTGGGTCCAGCACCAGCAAGAACCAGGAAGCCTTGGTGGAGGGAGGGGGTGCCCAGGACTCCCTGAGAGCCGGGCCGGAGTGGGGGCCTCCAGCCGCCCCTGAGCGAGGCCTGCCCCGGCAGCGCTGGGTAATTGGATTGTCCCTGGCTGTGCTGTCACTGCGTTGACTTTCGCTCCCCTGGATGATGTTATCCAGACCCGGAGTCGGCCGCCGACGCGCCTGTCAAAGGCTGCGCGGGGGCTCCCGGCCCGGCCCGGCACGCGCACATCAGCCAAGATAATTTGAAGTGAAATTTTCATCTTGACAGTAAACCCCTCAATTTCTCAAGGCTCCGCGCTCCGAGAGAGCGCCGGCAGGGGAGGCTTTGCGGCAAGCCCACGTCTTACACTGAAAAGGGCAAAAGAACTCGAATTAGTTGTAATAGATAAAAGGGCAAAAATAAAGAGCCAAGGGTACTTGACAGTAATCGCGGGCGGGGCGTCTCCGGGGAGGCGCGGGCTGCTGCGCAGTGCTCCGGGAATTTTAATGCGGCCCGCGGCCACCCGCGCGCCCCCGCCCAGCCCTAGACAAAGCCAGGTATTTTCTGCCAAAACAAGGCAGCGCAGATTCAGCAGCCGAGGGGCAACGAGGGTGGAGGGTGGTGGCCAGGGCCGGGGAGTTGGGGGTCCCGACTTGGGCTGGGTCGCGTGCCGTGGCTGCAGTGGGCTCCTCGTGGGGCTGGGGGACGCCGTTCACCCACAAAGATGGCTCAGGTGGACAGCGGCTCCCCGCACCCCGCCCGGCTGGCTCTCCAGAGGCGCCCGCAGCCCAACCTCGCTGTCCAGGGCTCGGGCTCGGCCCCTGGGCACTCTGGCCTCCGGAAGCCCGCCTGGCCGGTGTGCCCAGATCTGTTGGCCCCAGCTAAGTAAAGTGGTGAGCGTGAATGGCCTGGCAAGCTGAGTGAGATAAAGACATCACCGGGGGTCCCCAGACGCATTTCCGGGCGACTCGTAGGAAAGAACACCCCCAAACAGGGAGCTGTCGTTCCCAGCCACCTCTCCCTTGGGGTGCCTCTGCCAGGTTTGCGTCTAGCAGGCTGGGTGTGGTGGAATCCTGCCCCGGGGTGTAGAGCCGGACGGGGAGGACTGGGCCAGACCACCTCCCGAGGGGCAGGGCGGGGTCGAGCCTCCATGGGGGGGGGGGGCTGTCGTGGGGGAAAGTGGGGCCTGGCGCAGCGCCAGGACCCGCGGCGCACTCAGGCGAGGCAAATGCAAACACGGGGAGAGGAGAAGCTAAATTAACGGCGCTCTTTACATACAGCCCAAATAAAACTGTAATCAGCGGCGCGTAACTTTTCATTAAGCGAGGCTGACAGCGGCATATTCAGACTCGACAAGGGACAGGCGGGGAAATATACGGCTCCCGGGCCGCCCGGCCGAGATGACTCCTTAAGCTCCATTAACAACTCGTAGCCGCAGGAAATCCGTGCCGGAAACCGTCTCCAAATCTAAAAGCTTTATCGACCCTCCAACGTGGCTGATGGTTCCACGTTCCCCCCCCTCTTTCCCCCTCTCTCTCTCCCTCCCTCTCCCTCTCCCCTTCCCTTTCCCTTTTTCCCCCTTTAACTTAGGGGAGATGTCCATTTGACAGGACACCTTCTTAACTAGAGAGGCTGGGAAGCCAGCCCATAAGTGATATTTAAAAGGCAACCAATTAAGATTTAAAGCGGGCCTCTCCTGAGATTACGCGTGTGATTTACACTACCCGCCCCCCCCCCCGGGGAGCTACTTCCCAGCCACAGCCGGTTCCCCCGGGAGGGAGATTTGGCAAGCCACCATCTCCATCTGAATGGGACGGGGCTGCCCGACCCCTGCCGCCTGGCGGTGGACTGGAGTCTGGTCCCCACCCCTCCCCACACCCATCTTGCCTGCTGGGCTGGGAGGGGCTCTCAGGCCGGCCCCACCCCACCAGCACGGCCCCGGGATGACCGAGGGAAGCCTCCAGCTGCCCAGGGACTGAGCTTCCCGGCGCAGTGCTGGTTTGCTCACCTCCAGCGCACCTAGCTGCTTCCCTTCCAAAGCCCCAGGAAGGTTCAGCTCCAAGGGACCGGGGCCCTTCATCCAGGACCTCTGTCCCCTCCGTCTGGGACCACTGTCCCTACAGGCAACATTGGCTTGGTCGTCCGCTTCCACCAGGGCTGCCACGCCGAAGGGGCTGGAAAGCTGTCCTGTCCTGTCACTCATGAGAAGACAGCCGGGCCCCAGAGGGACAACCCATGACCCCTTGATTTGACCCCAGTTCAAGATCCTCTTGGACTCTGAACAATGACAGGCGGAGGGGAGAGACCAGGCCGCGGAGGGGATGGGGAGAGGAAGGAGAAGAGGATGGGGGGGGGGGATTGGGATAAGGGATTACAGGCGGTTGAGGGGCACTTGGCGGCAGCCTTACCGGAGCACATGTGAACCAGGCGTGTTCCGGAAAGAGAGCCCCAGTGCTGGGGTGCAGACCCCCCCCCCGCACTCTCCGAGAGACTCGGGCTCGGGGCTGGAGGGACATGTGGCCCTCAGATGGCCCCCACACAGCCTGGATTTTAGCGGGGAGACCGAGGAGTGGCCCTGGTGCCTTCTCTCAAGTTCTGAACCCCAAGAGTGGACCTGGAGTCCAACATGCCCCCTCCAAGCCCCCTCCAAGCTCAAGGACTGCACCCAACTCCACAAGGCAGGAGGCCCAAGGCCCCAAAGGTAGAGCACACAAGGAGTCGCGAGCACCCACCCATCTTTGTATTTGGGGGCGCTGCACCCCAGGGCCCCGGGCCTTCCACTCAGGAGTGGGGTGCCACGAGCAGACAGCAGGCAGGCAGATGGGTGGACAGACGGGATGGCCCTGGAGTCCGACCCTGTCCTCTAGGGGAGGATCTTTCAAATGGGAGGCCAAGGGAAAGGGAAGGAAAAGCTGTTTCCAGACATGGCTTTGTCTTAAAACTCTCCACGGTGTCCTCACTCCGCAGCAAGCCCCCGAGGACAAAGCAGACTGGGGCGGCCAGTGGAGAGCATTTGTGTGATGGTCCATTTTCTGCTGGTCCCCGCTGTCCTGGGAACCCAGGTCAGGCTCTGAGACCTGCCCCAGCCCAGAACCCAATGGGGACGGGCTCAGGCCACATCTTTGGTTCTGGAAGCCTGGGGATTCTGAGAAAGCTCAGGGCCAACACTGCAGGTCAGTCTTTGTCCCTCCGGCCTCCTGCTCGGAAGGGAAGAGCTCCAGCCAGACGGGGCAGCGTGGGAGCTGGAGCAGCCTGGGCTACTGAGGGAGAGCCCAGTCTCAGAGAGAGGAAGGGTCTGTGCAAACCCTGGGAAAGGGGAGCAGGCACTGTGTCTCCAGGGAGCAAGTAGGAGTTTGACAGAGGACCCTGAGGAGGCCAGGCGTCCAGGTCACGGGCCAGGCCCCCGGAAGGACCCCCCACCCCCAGAGGGGTCTTGGGCAGCTAGTGCAGTGCCAGTCAGCAGCGGGGAAGGCAAGGGACGGGCCAGCCCGGAAGGGTACATGGCCCCGGTGCTAGACAGGGCAGCAGGTGGCAGGTGGGGGTCAGTTGGAACACCTCCGGAGGTTTATCTGGCAGGAGGTGCAGGGGGCTGGAGGAGAATATCCAAAGGGCCTGGAGTGAAAAGCG